TTCACATTTACTGCGTCTCCATCTCCCTTCTTAGCTCAAACCCAGCCCTTGTCATTATTTTCATATATTATTAGTCCCACTATATTGGCACCTTTTTATGGAGAAAACTTGAGACCATACACATTCTTAGTGCTGCGAGTTGGTGCGACTCTGCTTTGCTGCTGGCATGCTGTGTGTTGTGTGGCAGCGAGGGTGGGGAATACTGCTCAAATTGAGTGCCAGGGCAGGAGCTGTCTTCATTCTCTTATCAGGCGATCACCAAATGCTGGCAGCTATACAAGATATGATACACTGAAGCACTGGTTCTGACCCCTTTTTGGCTTTTAAACCTTTATAGCCTACTCCCGAGCCGTCATCACAGATTGCAGATGTTTAAGTTTAACACTAAGAGTGGAGTTTCCTTCTCAAATAGTTCCAATTTAATCATTTTTCGAGTCCTCAAGAGATACAACTTTGCACTATTTGTCCAAAAATGCAGAGGTCTTATAAAATCAGAAAGTAAGAAAAACATTTAACGTAATTTTGTTGAGCATAAATGTTTTGTTAATCGTCTTCTTCCTAGTCTTCCTAGTTCCCAGTCTGACTCACAGAAACTGGGCGGTGGATACAAAGCTGCCATTGGCTGAATATTTATTGTTTCGCAAGGGCACCATCGCTGCATTCGAGGCTTAGCACCAACCAACACAACTGTGATTGGTTTAAAGAAATACAAACAAGCCAGAGCGTCCGTTTCCCCCCCCCCCATACCAGAATGATAATGGGGTCAGCCAGATCTTTCTCCAGTGCTCGCTAAAACAAAAGTGCGGAGATAAGCCATTACGCTTTAAATTAATCTTTAGACAATTTACAGTGCAGAGACAGTAAAATGCTTCTTCCATTCAGATGCCAAACCAAACAAAGATATGTGTTTCTACAGTCTCCGCTGTCTCTGATGTGTTTCTTACATGTGGTACTTTGTTTATTCAAGTCTGCACAGGTGGTGAATACTGCAACTGTGGCAGTCAGGTTTCTGAAAGCACTGTAATGCTGTTAATTCCCTTCACCGTTTTTAGAATAGAGCACAACTTTATTGTCCAGCCGAGGCCCGAAAATCACCTTTCTTTGATTTAAAACTTCACACATTCACACAGAAGCGTGCAGATTAATGCAGTTTGCTCACTGAATTTATTGCACTAGGAACAACAGATCCCTTACTGATCTTTGTGTTTGCCAGCAATGATGGACAAAGGTTTCACATGTACATCTGTTCTGTAAAGGTCACCCAGTGATTTTGCTGGCAGCCTGCTGTTTTTGACGACCCTGTTCACCGTTTTACAGACAGCTTACAACTCGGATTGTATATGAACAAGTTCGATAACATCGTAACAAACTAGTTTAGGAACTGGATGAGTAACAATAAGTGCGTAGTTTGAACGGTAACCGTGAGTACGGTACAAGTTTTCCTAACTACTCCCGCACCTCGGTGTCCATTAATATACCTTCTTTCATTGTCTCTCATGTCAGCTTTTCGCTCCCGTTTTAACCGTCTTACTAACTAATTTAACCCACTTAATGTTTCCTGCTAGGCTGTCTGCTAGTCTCCAGTCTCTCTGTCTGTCCATGTATCTCTCTCCATCAGTTATCTCATGTTTTCCCTCTCTCATAATGTCGTCTGTCCGTCGGTCTGTCTCTCTGTCTGTCGGTCTCTCTGGCCTGGTTTGAATCAGCCCAGCAGAATCTCTCTTTTGGGGCTCGGTAACATGTCTTGATTGGCTCACACAAAATCCAACTGCACTGTGACATCACAGGCACCGGAGCCTGCTGATTGGCTGACACTGGTAGCGGGGGATGGAGGGGGTTATACGCGGATTGAGGCGGCGGGAGGGCTGATGGGAAACGGAGAGACTGAGTGACGCTGCTCAGTGCCTACAGGCCCTCTCCCTCTCTCTCTCTCTCTCTCTCTCTGTTGCTCTCATTTTGAGTTCCTCTCCAGCTCGCTCTCTACCAGGCTTCAGCTCCTCACATGGTGGAAACTCCAACACTCAAACAACCCACTCTTGACTGTCACTTAACCATTTTCTTCCCATATTCGCGTTTTCTTCCTGGAGGCGGCAGGAAGGGGGGGGGGGACGCACAAAGTGATTCCATTCCTGGCAACTTAAGTTCCCGAGCCAGGAAAAAAAAAAAAAAAAAA